GTGGGAGGGTCGGGAAGAGATGGCTAAAATGTGTGCATAGGTAGGGGTGTGGGGGTGGGTGTGTGTGTATGTGCGTGTGTTTGGTCTGAGGGAAAAAAAAAGGGGGGGGGGATTGCACCCGGTACCATCTGACCTTGCTATGTCACTGAGTACCGACACTTTTTGTGTGTGGCAGTAATAGAAGTGGTAGCAGCAGCAGTAGTAGTAGAAACCTTTCTGTCTTTCGAGACTAGAATGTTCTAGCATGCTAGAGGGAAGCGTGGCGTTTAAAGTCTATACTGAAGGCCTATGTGACTAGTGAGACACAAATCTTCCTCCCCCTCCCTCCCTTCCCCATCCTCATAAATACTCGGGCTTTCTTTCTCTTGTTTGCACTCACAAGCTGTAAACACCGGCAGAAAGTTATGATGCTCGTCCACTTCTAGACTTAGAGTTGTGGCAGTATGCACAGCAGAACTAGTCGGCATAATGAAGGCACTATAGATTGTTATAAATAAACCTCCAACAAAATTTACCATACAGACAGATTCATTGTCCTCGGTGCAGACGTTAAAAACTCATAAAACTAGCTGTAGACCAGATATTAAAGAAACGATCTTACACCTAACAACCAAACTCAAGAATAAAGGATGCTAAGTCACCATTGCATGGGTACCAGCACATAAAGGTGTAATAGGCAATGAAAAAGCTGACCAATCAGCCAAAAGAAGGAGCTAAATGTGATGCTTTAGTAGAAGCAGGACTCGGAAAAACTGAAAGGAATAGCATAATCAAAAGACATATCATTTAAATGTGGAAGCGCCAATGGCAGATAAGCACTAATGGCAGAGATGCATACAACAATCTTAAAGAACTCAGCCTAAACACACAGGTATGGGAGAAACTGAAAATCCCAGCTAACAAGCTACTATGGGGAGCTAGGTTAGGATGGCATCCAGAGAAATTTATATCTCCCATATGTCTGGACTGCTTTCAGGATAACACAATAGAACATAATATGATAAACTGCACTAAATACAAATTGGAGAGGAAACCGATTGAGGAATATTTTCTAAAACGCAAACAGATTACTGCAAACAAATGTCTAAAGGTGGATAGGAATAGAGACAGACAAAAACTTGTTAAACAGTATCTAATCAAAACAAACCAAAACTTAAAAGACCAGGTTGAAGATCAGCTCAGGACAGCAGAAGGAACAGGTCAGGTGGTGACTCCGGACACCCTAGCGTAAGGGAGATAGAGTAAGTATGATGGGTGCATAGATTTGAGCACGTGTAGATGCACAAGTAAGAGTGCGTGTAGTATGGGTGCATTTATGTAAAAGATGGATACATAAGAAAAGATATATGTAGACGAATGGTAAGGGGTCACATATGGACAGGAAAGTGGGAATATAGATGTGCGAAAGGTACAGATGAACGATTACATGGATCTAGAAATGTATATGTGTATCTATGTAAATGTGTGTATGTATATATATATATATGTGTGTGTGTGTGTGAGCATGTATATTTTTATATGTATGTGTGTATGTAAATGACTGAGCACTCCGGGAACCCATAAATTATGTAGTTGCATGAGACTATACGATGAACGGGTGCATACAGACGTATGAAATCGCACGAACCTGTTAATTAATGAGAATAAATAGAATGAAGTGTGTACGCCAGCAAGAACCAACATCAGCACACACCATCCACATCATTCACCAGAACATGATAAGAACGTAACGGACAGGTCACATTCCAGGAACGGGACATAACTTAAAAAGTGACGATATTAGAGACATAGTGACACATTAAACAACACGCAAGACATGGACGTGTGAGTGTCCTTATGGATGGATGTACACGTTTTTCATGAATGTAAGAGCATTTATGTAGGCATTGATAGACACATATGAAAGAGTATGCAGGTGTACGGAATGACAAATGGGTATGCATACAAAGATAAGTATGAAAGGAAGTGCAAAAATGTAGTATTGTCTGAGTGTATGAATACTCGAATACATGAACGCATACACTTAGTGGAGTGCGTCCATATATTTCGGGAATTCATACTCAAAACCATCTCACTCCACACAATGCATTCAACATAAACATGACTGGTGGGGCTCACAACAGGATATGACTGCCAGCAAATAGGGAAAACAAATGGATCGATACTAACAGGACTAGGAAACTTAACCACCAATTCCAACCCATCAATGGGCTGATAACAAAGGTTGGTGACGTGATACGTATAATCCCGGCTAAAGAGGACGCTAGAATCAAGCGTGAATGGCATCCCGCCCTTTTTCCCCTCAACCTTCCCTACCTCTTCCGGATGCACTATAAGTTCAATCCCTCACCCCATTCCCATAGAGAGCACTTGAGTTCGGTACCCAACATGCCACAGCAATTCCAATCGCCGAACATTGGGATCTCAAAGCGTGAGCTGGGTGTTCCGGTGATATGGTATCTATGTACACCGGAGCCTAGCTGCCAACCCGGACCGACACAACCGGATCACACAATAACAAATGAAGAATAGAACCGCTTGGAGGTTCCACCTAACATTTCCCACACATATCCACGACATGACTAACCTGTTCTTATTGCAGGAAGACAACTATAAGACCACTATGGTCACACGCGGAATATTTTCACATTTCGGAACTATCCAAAATCAAAAACTGTTTTCAGTACTTTTTGCCAAAGTAAAATACTCAGAATTGTAAAACTATAAATGGTTATCCAAAGGACGTTGTGTAGAGAAGCTCCCTCTCCTAAGACATACGCCTGACCAAATCAGAGGGAGATTAAACCAAGAGGAAACACCAAGAAAGAGAAGGAAAGAAATACACAGCTAACAGGGTAGAGGACGAGCGGTCTGACTCGAAAGGAATCATTAAGCCCAGAAACGGCGCAAATACCTGAATTTAGTCAGGAAAGTGACGTAATTAACTCAGACCACAAAAATAGGCGGAGACTGTTAGCAGCCTCGGCTAGCTATCAGTAGTCTGAAAGTGGTCGAACTTTGAAATTTTTCCCCAAAAGGAATCGGAATCGGAATCTTTTAGAGTGTCGGTATATCTTCTCTTCTTTGTGTATGATATTCTGAGAAGAATCTTTGTGATTGACTCCATCTTAAACGCCCATATTGTCTCTGCACTGGGAGGTAGTCCACGACTCATATCTGTATGTTGCTACAGGGAAGATGTTTGCTCTCAAAATGTTAACTTTGATTTTCTTACTGGTGCTTAACCATAGACTTTTAATGTTGTTTAACTGAGTGTACCATAAAAGCCCAGCACAGTACCCATGCACCCCACATGGCATAGCATGTGTCTATTCTTGATAAAGTTCGGATTGTTAACGCAGTTTCAGAATCCCGACATACCAGGGTCACATGCATACCCTTAGTACTATATTCCTTTACATTGGTTTTGACAATGGAAACAGAAGGAAATAAATGTTAAACTTGTGAACACACATTTGGCAAGTAAATCTAAACAACGCTGCGTTTGTGGCTTAGGCGTTGCGAGTACGACTTGTAATTCCAACGTACCGCGATCGAAACCCACTGCTGGCTGCGTGAATTTTTATCATGGTGCGGGGCGTCGCAAGTCGACCCAGACTAAAATGGGTACCAGGATGGCTGTCCTGGGAAAGTAAAGACGGCCGGCGTAATGCTGACCACATTACCAATTCAGTGCTGATTGGTCTGTACAAATACGGGACACTCTTCCCATATACACGATGCGCCTAACGGTGAAAAGGGATCTTTAGGTTAGGTTCTTCGTTTAAATCTAGACAACTGTTAATAAATGCTAGGATTGGTTTATGGAGTCTTCTAGAGCAGAACGGTCAAAAATGTGATTTATAGTTTTATAGTCGACAGGATCGACTTCTTTGCATCGGGTTTTCATATCATATGAACGGCCAGCCAACTGAGGAGACTCACAGTTTTGAAAGCACTAAATATTAGCGTGCCCGTTTCAGTCTAAAGCCGTGTCACGCGAATGTACAGCGTTAAATAGAACAATTAGCAGGCGATGTTAATCTTTAACCTCTAGTTCGTTAGTAGACTGACTTACTGTCTGGGGAAAGAATGTTTGTCTAAACTAATGGTCTCCAAACTTTTTCCGCGGCGGCTCCTTTGAGTATGTGGCAAGACCTCCACGCCCCTGCGGCACCCTCTCCCACATAACAAAATGGGATTAGAAAGAGGAGGACAAAAAGAATAATGACAAGCACTGTTAACGGTAGCTTAAAGAAAAACATTTGCATAAATCAATGTGTCATATAACAATCGGAGTTTGTAGTTAACCTGTGCCTAAAGACACATGTATTTTAATTAGGCTTTTAATTGTGGGTCTACAAACTGCTTACGAACACGAAAACATTTTGGTTGTTTGTTTTGTAAATAGTTTTGCAACGTTTTATATTTATAATTAAATATAATTTAAAAAAATGTCAGTATCATAGATTAATACATGAATGCATGCACTCCATTTCAAAATTCACGCCCCCCTCCCCCTTTTTTTTTTCTCCGACACCCTTTGAAACTTTTTGCGCTCATACTCTTCCCCCTCCCCTCCCCCGCCTCCTCTCCCTACAGCCCCCGGAGTTCGAAGACCACTAAATATTTAGTGACCAACACTAACAGTTTTGAAAGCTCCGCTCCAGAGGACATGATGCTAAGGTTCAATGATACCATAACATAATCAGTACACAGCAAACAAATGTGTCTCTTAGCATATCGACAGACAGTTAGGGAAAGAATTATCTGATTCACTATTAGCCGAAGGACTGTGTGTGTGTGTGTGTGCGTGCGCACGCGCGTATATATATATATATATATATATATATATATATATATATATTCGTCACAGGGAGAGAGAGAGACAGAGAGACAGAGAGAGAGAGAGAGAGAGAGAGAGAGAGAGAGAGAGAGAGACGACTGACAGGGTAAAAATATACATACAGCACGTAACAAAGACTGGTCCCACAACTCACCAAGCAAGAAACTCCATCACCCCGACTGCAGGTGTCCGCTGTTTGATTCTGTACCTGGTCCCGGAGGCAGCCCTGGTAGTTACAGGTGACATTGTAGCACTGATTCTGAGGGGACCAGAGGAAAAATATAGCACATTCTTCTTCTTCTTCTTCTTCTTCTTCTTCTTCTTCTTCTTCTTCTTCTTCTTCTTCTTCTTCTTCTTCTTCTTCTGCTTCTGCTTCTTCTGCTTCTGCTTCTTCTTCTTCTTCTTCTTCTTCTTCTTCTTCTTCTTCTTCTTCTTCTTCTTCTTCTTCTTCTTCTTCTTCTGCTTCTTCTTCTTCTTCTTCTTCTTCTTCTTCTTCTTCTGCTTCTTCTTCTTCTTCTTCTTCTTCTTCTTCTTCTTCTGCTTCTGCTTCTTCTGCTTCTGCTTCTTCTTCTTCTTCTTCTTCTTCTTCTTCTTCTTCTTCTCTTCTTCTTCTTCTTCTTCTTCTTCTTCTTCTTCTTCTTCTTCTGCTTCTTCTTCTTCTTCTTCTTCTTCTTCTTCTTCTTCTTCTTCTTCTTCTGCTTCTGCTTCTTCTTCTTCTTCTTCTTCTTCTGCTTCTGCTTCTGCTTCTTCTTCTTCTTCTTCTTTTTCGTCTTCTGCTTCTGCTTCTGCTTTTTCTTCTTCTTCTTCTTCTTCTTCTTCTTCTTCTTCTTCTTCTTCTTCTTCTTCTTCTTCTTCTTCTTCTTCTTCTTCTTCTTCTTCTTCTTCTTCTTCTGGAGCTACAAATAACTGGTGCGCCGCCCCCGGCAAATATCTGAGCGGGGACAGAGTAGTGGGATTGGGGATCAAAAGCCTTACCCCTCGAATAAAAACATACTAGTAATAATAAACAATAATAATATTACGAATCTCAAATAAATGTTTAACTATTTTGGAAAATACATTAAATTTGTTCTAAAGAAACACTACAAAAAAGAAAGCCAACATATATGAGAACCATTTAGCCAGCTTGCATTTTCCATAAAGGGCAGGGGTTCCATAATGAATGAGGATTAAGGGCGCTAACCATGTTCAGAAATTCGCTTCAAAAGAATAAGTTTTTATATTGTCTAAATTCAGTTTGAAAACCCTTGGTGTGGAATACTCAAAAACTTGGTATCACTGTGAATTACGAAACAAAGAGAAAGCAGGTAGCGTCGACCTCATTCAGTCAGAGACTAAACATCACATTTCACTTCAAAGACCCCGCGGACAAATGATGCGTAGGTTAAATAATTTACACCAGAGTGGAGTGACCATTATAAGAAGAAACTCCACAGGAAAGCATGTACAGCAGGGATCTACCTATCGTCAGTAGAAGTAATCTCTCGTCGACAAACGTTTCGGCCCACGAGCTTCTAGACGTTTTCAGAGAGTGGACCCACCTGAGTTCATGAAGCTCAGGGTTGGTTTCCCTGCTGCACGAAATTACCAGATGTTGTTCTAATTCTAATTGGTGATTTTGTAGAAGGCACTGTGAGATAAAAGTCGTCGCAGTAGCATAATTAGAGCAGTCTGCATACCTGGACGACCGAGCGACAAGCTAACGATTGGTATACCGGACACATGTTAGACTTTGTTAGCACGTGGCAGAGAAACACTGGCAGACAATTCGGACACAATGGACTTTCAAGGGATGAAAAATTCTTTTCCGCTAGACACCCGGACCAGCTCACCGAGGCCCGTCCCCTACGTTGTTTCGTTGCGACCAGAGCCAGCTCGAGGCCCTCTCAGCAACCTCGCCCAGCTGTTTAAGTGTCCGTTGGCGTTCATTACCGCAAAATCCTAGTTCTTTAACCACATTGTCGAGTGAAGTGGAAACGAGACCTCTCGCTCCCACTTCGACGGCAAAGACACGTACTGTGTACGCCTCGTCTCTCCTCAGATCGGCTGCTAAGTCATAGTACTTCTCGAGCTTGTACATATGGCTTTCGTCCATTCGAGACTCATACGGGACGGTCAGCTCAATCAGGATGAGCTGCCGTTTCTCCGCAGAGTGGAGAACTATGTCAGGGCGCAGGCCGGTCTTCCGAATTGACTCAGGGTACCTTTCATGGCCAGGCAGGTCAACCGCCAGTAACCTGTCCCTCGCAGAGTCTAGCATAGATGGAGCGAATGCGCCTTTGTTGATCTTACCTTTTTGAATTTGTCAGCCTTGAGGAAGCGTATGGGAACGACGGTAGGACTGGCTCTCGCGTTAGCCCTCATCCTAGCCTGGTCCACAACAGCTGCCAACTCTTTTAGCACCTTGTTGTGGCGCCAAGTGTATCGGCCTTGACCTAGTACTTTCCTGCATGCGGACAGAACGTGTTCTAACGTCTGCTTCGCTCTGCACAGAGGGCAAGTCGGATCGATAGTCGCAGACCACTTAATCATGTTAACACCGGACGGTAATACATCGTACGCCGAACGAACGATAAAGCTCAGTCGCAGCGGGGTCATTCGCCAGATCTCACCCCAGGTGAGTACTCTTGGCAATGCGCTCACCAGGCTGACCCAATGGCCCTCCTGCGACTGCTGGGCTGCCTTCTGGACCCGAACCTCGTTTTCGTTGTCCCTTACCTATTATATCACCATGTCTCGGCGTTCTTTGGCTGTGGCTTTGGACCACCAACTGACCTTCCCGTGACCTAGGCCTCGACGGTCGGTTTGAGTGTATCCCATAATCTCCTTCAATTTTAGTGCATTCTGGGCAGATTCGATCGCATCGAGGACTCTCCACTTCTGACCAGTCTTTAGAGTGGGCTGGACAGCGGTGACATTTGGGTCTGAAGACTCGCGCAAAAGCATGGCGAATCTTACTTTGCCGACTTTAAACCCTTCGGTTATCGATTTGAACGGGAGTACCAGCTTAGCCTGCTTACAATACAGAGCCACGTCGGTCAGACAAGGCGGTGCACCAATCCACTTTCTTAAGGCTGTATTGATTTTTTTCTCCATCGTCTCCACTGCAGTCATCGTCACTTAGTAGACTAACAGCGGCCAGAGGAGCTTTGGAATCAATATGAATTGGAGACACCAGACCTCGAACTTCCAAATCAGCCTGCTACGCTCGATCGCGAGCAGGCATGTAGCCAGTGACTCGTGTTTTCGCCGGACCTCAGCTCTATCAGATAACTTCGAATCGTAAACGCGACCAAAGCTCTTCACCGGTTCCTCCAGAACAGTGGGGATCTTATTCCTTGCCCCGTAAAACTGGTTTTCGACACCCTGCCCTTAAGGATTGACAGACTCCTCGACTTCTGCGGTTTGAAGTGCATACCGCTCCATTGGACCACCGCGTCCAATCTTTTCAGGATCGTGAGGGCAGACTCCTCGCTGCCCGTGATTATAGTCGTGTCATCCATAAATGCGCGTAGTGGCGGCATCCAGTGATCCCCTATTTGAAGGCCCTGTCAGTAGCCGGCCGCCCCGTCTAACATGATCTGCATGGCCATGACGAACAGTATGGGTGAGATCGTACAGCCAATAGCTATCCCAACTTGTAGCTCAGTCCACCTCGTGAGAAATTTCGAGGTAGAGAAGCGCAAAGCGAACTTAGAGAAATATTGCTCGATCATTTCGTTGATTTGTGTCGGTACGTGAAACATGCGAAGGGCCTGCCATGGTAGCCTATGGGGAACTGCCCTGTAGGCGTTGGCTAGGTCCAACCATATAACGTGCAAATCAGTTCTCTCATGCTTGGCTCTCTGAATAGTCTCCCAAATCATGGTCGCGTGTTCAAGGCACCCAGGTACGCCCGGAATACCACCCTCTGAACACTCGTATCGATGTACTTGTTAGCCATCAGATACTGTGTGAGCCGGCGAGCCATGACTGAGAAGAATATTTTCCCCTCAACATTCAACAGCGAGATCGGCCTGAATTGGGAAAGACTCTTCGAGTCCTGCTCTTTGGGAATGTAGACCCCGTTTGCCCGTTGCCACTCTGGCAAATGTGTTTTCGGCTCCATGCTTGTCTCAACAAGCCGTGAAGCATACGTAGGATTCTCGGACAACGCTTGTAAAGAACGTACGGAACACCATTCAGACCTGGAGCAGACTTGCCACTGGCTCTTTTCACAATTTCCTCAACCTCAGACCAAAGGGGAGGTATCACTTTAAATGGTACCTTCGGCAACTCAGGCTGCATGAGGCCGCTAAGGATCTCTGGATTGTTATCGAGAGGCTCATTCCTCGTTTTGTCAGAGTACATCTTGCGTAGATGTGACTCAAGATCCTCTGCAACCAGACTTCATGCAGCCCCTCCCGTTCGCTGCCTGTAGCGGCTTTGAACCGTTTTCCAAGGGCATTCTTGTCTGCCCTACACTTCAGAATGTCCCCCTGTCTCCTGCTAGTATTCTGCTTGGCACCCGGCGGTGCCTTTTCCATTGTCCAAAACTCAAGGGAAGAGTGCTCATATATTACATCACCAAACTTTGTAAACTTGTCGCCTAACGACTTCTTTTTTAAATCATGAATTAGTTTCTCGCATAATGTACCCTCTAACTTGCACCACGACACCTTATCGCTCGCAGGTGGAAACCTGATCCTGGAACGCACTTCCTCGGGAATCATCAAACGTGCGCCTCCGCAGTCAACGTCATGGGCCTCTCCGGGCGAGTGGGGTTCACCCTGCCCGTCGTTCCCTAACGACTCAGAAACTACCACAGGAGTAGTAGTTTTGCGACGGCGTTTACTGCGTGGAGCACCCTCGCATTTCATCCTTCCGGCATGCGTTCTCAAACCATGCAACCCCGTGAAGCTCTTTCAAAAATGTACAGAGCCAGCCTGGACATTGGGCAAGAAACGGAGTCCGGGGGCTAGCATTGACTGACCATAAGTAACCAATCACATGAAAATGTAGAACATTTCACATATCTTGGCAGTGTGGTGTCCCTACTGGGAGGGACAGAGGAAGATATACAGTCACGCCTGAACAAAGCTAGAGCTGCTTTTGGAAGGATGCGGCAAATCTGGAAATCCAACAGTTACTGCAGAGGAACAAAACTCCGACTCTACAAGAGCATCATTTTGTCAGTTCTTCATCATGGAGCAAAATGCTGGAGAATGACCAAAAAGGATGTGCACAAGTTGTCCACCATCCACCACTTATGTCTACGTAGAATTATCAAACTTTTCTGGACAGATACAATCTCAAACACTAAACTTCTTCAAGTCACAAACCAAAAAACTCTAGACTGTATGAAAACCAAGAGAAGATGGAAATGGCTTGGCCACGTTATGAGAATGAATCCTGATATACCTGCCAAAACAGCTTTCACATGGATACCAGAGGGAAATAGAAAAAAAGGTGCGTCCAAAAACAACGTGGAGACGAACGATGAAAGGTGACCTGAGTGTGGCATCTTTGACATGGAAAACTGCATTGAAGATTGCACAGGACAGGACAGGAAAGCATGGAAAGTCCTATCTGAAGCCTCATGTGCCACTAGGCATAACGAGAACTGATGATGATGATGATGGAGTAGCTCAGAGTTTGCGACGTCCGAATCCGGCCGGTAGAGAGCTCGGTCATGGAGTGTCTTGTATGATTTTTGTTTAACAGACGGTCGTATATATATATATATATATATATATATATATATATATATATATATATATATATATATATATATATATATATATATATACACCTGATTTTGAAGCAGGGAATGGGAGTGTGAGGTTTTAACGTATACTCAACTTATTTTTACACACACTCTCTCTTTTACTTACACATTATCTGTCTCTCTTCTCTATGTGGGGGGCGGGGAAGGGGTGGGGTTGCATACACACTCATCACTTTAGAATATTTACACACATACACTCTGACACACATACATACACTCGCTCTGCTGCTCCAGTTTCCTACTTCGCTCGCCCTCAACACGTTCTCTGCGTCTCTGTTTACTTCCCAGGACTGTACCTGGTACCCATTAAAGGCCGGGCCGACCTAGGAGCAAAGGTCTTTTTTTTTTAAAAAGTCCGGCACCTTCAGACGCTATACCATGTCGTCTCCCAGTTAATGTACTAGAGTATGTTTGTCTCCACATCATATCTAAAAACATTTTCACTTAACAGTCGACAATCTTATAAGACTCAACTCACTGATTTTGTTGTCGTAAAGCTTGTTGGTGCTGTTGAAGAGCTACTGTTTGGTGCTTGTGTAGAACTGATAGCTGTTGCTGTTGTAGAAATGCTGGTTGGAGCTGTTGTAGAGCTGATGGTTTGTGCTGTTGTAGTAATGTTTACTTGTGTTGTCTTAGAACTGCTAGTTGGTGCCGATGTAGAACTGCTTGCTGGCGCTGTTGTGGAGTTGCTGGTTGGAGCTGTTGGATAATTTCTGGTTGGCGTTGGGGTAGAAGTGCTGGTTGGCGCTGTGGTAGAAGCACTGGTTAGAGCTGTTGCAGAAGTGCTGGTTAGTGTTGTCATTGAAGTACCGGTTGGTGTTGCTGAAGTGCTAGTTGTTTTTGTTGTATAAATGCTGACTGCTGATTTTGTAGAAGTGCTGTTTGGGTCTGTTGAAGAAGTACTGATTGGTACTGTTCTAGAAGTGCTGGTAGGCTCTGTTCTAGAAGTGTATGTTGGCATAATTGTACTGGTACTGGTTGTTTCTATGGTGCTGGTTGTCAAAGCTCTACTAGTTCTGGTTGGTGCTGCTGTTGATGTGCTTGTTGGAGCGGTTGTATAACTGCTGGTTGAATTTGTTGTAGAACTGCTGATGAAAGATGTTGTGGAACTGCCGTTAGCGTCTGTTGAAGAAGAGCTGGCTGGTTCTGCTGTAAAAGTGCTGGTTGGTTCTGTAGAAGTGCTGCTTGGTTCTATTGTTGGAGTATTGGTTGGTACTGTTATAGAAATGCTTGTCTGTACAGTAGAATTGCTGGTTGTTTCTGCCGTAGAAGTGCTGGTTGATACTGTTGAAAAAGTGCTAGTTGGTTGTGCCGTAGAGGTGCTGGTTGGTTTTAATTCTTTAGAATTGCTGGTTGGTTCTGCTGTGGAAGTGCTGGTTGGTGCTGTATAAGTGCTAGTTGGTGCAGTATAAGTGCTAGTTGGAACAGTAGAATTGCTGGTTGATTCTGTTGTAGAAGGGCTGGTTCGTGCTGCGGAAGTTCTATTTGGTTCTGTTGTAGAAGTGCTGGTTGGCACTGTAGAAGTGCTGATTGGTTCTGCTGTAGAAGTGCTGGTTGGCTCTGCTGTAAAAGTGCTGATTGGTTCTTCTGTAGAAGTGCTGATTGGTTCTGCTGTAGAAGTGCTGATTGGTTCTGCTGTAGAAGTGCTGATTGGTTCTGCTGTAGAAGTGCTGGTTGGTTCTGCTGTAGAAGTGCTGGTTGGTTCTGCTGTAGAAGTGCTGGTTGGTTCTGCTGTAGAAGTGCTGATTGGTGCTGTTGTATAAGTGCCGCGTGGTACAGTAGAAGTGCTGGTAGCTACATTAGAAGTGTTGCTTGGTGCTATTGTAGAAGTGCTGGCTGGTACAGTAGAAGTGCTGGTTAGTATAGTAGAAGTGTTTGTTGATTCTGCCGTAGACGTGCTGGCTGGTACTGTAGAAATGCTGGTTGGTTGTACAGTTAAAGTGCTGGTTGGTGCAGTAGAAGTGTTGGTTGATTCCACCTTTGCAATGGAAAGGTCTGTTGTAGAAGTGCTGGCTGTTGCTGTTGAAGAAGAGCTAGTTGGTTCTGTTATAAAAGTGCTGGCTGGTGCGGTTGTCGAAGTGCTGGTTGGTGCTGTTGAAGAATTGCTCAATAGTGTTGTTGAAGAAGTGTTTCCTAATGGCATTAAAAAAATGGTGGTCAGCACAGTTGTACTAGTACTAACAGACCCAGTGGTGGTGTCAGTGCGGGTTGGGTCTGTGACACTGCTAGTACTAACAGACCCAGTGGTGGTGTCAGTGCGGGTTGGGTCTGTGACACTGCTAGTACTCGGTGGAACTGTAGTCTGTACTGAAACACAATTCAAAAAAAAGAGAAATATATTATATCCGTCGAACCATTTCATCATTCTCAATTCTCTTACTTCTTCTCTCCCTCGTTAGCCTCCTTCTTTCTTGTTCTTATTTTCTTTTGTTTTATTTGTTCTATGTGTCCTCCTCTCCTCATCCTACTCCTTCTTCTTCTTCCTCTTCTTATTCTTCCTCCTCTTCTTCTTCTTCTTTCTTCTTCCTCTTCTTCTTCTTCTTCTTCTTCTTCTTCTTCTTCTTCTTCTTCTTCTTCTTCTTCTTCTTCTTCTTCTTCTTCTTCTTCTTCTTCTTCTTCTTCTTCTTCTTCTTCTTCTTCTTCTTCTTCTTCTTCTTCTTCTTCTTCTTCTTCTTCTTCTTCTTCTTCTTCTTCTTCTTCTTCTTTTCTGCTACTCTCTCTCTCACACACACACACACACGCACGCACGCACGCACGCAAACACGCACGCAAACACGCACGCAAACACGCACGCACGCACACACGCTGCACGCACACACACACACACACACACACACACACACACACACAGACACACACACATACACACACATACACACACACACATACATACATACACATACACACGTATACACACACACATACACACATATACACACACACATACATACATACAACCACACATACATACACACATACAAACATACACACATACACACATACCTACCTACCTACATACATACCTACCTACCTACCTACCTACGTACCTACCAACCTACGTACCTACCAACCTACCTACCTACCAACCTACCTACCTACCTACCTACCTACCTCCCAACTTACCTACCTACCTACCAACCAACCTACCTACCTACCTACCAAATAACCTACCTACCTACCTACCTACCTACCTACCGACCGACCGACCGACCGACCGACCGACCGACCGACCGACCGACCGACCGACCGACCGACCGACGTACCTTCCTACCTACCTACCTACCTACATGCCTGCCTGCCTGCCTGCCTGCCTGCCTGCCTGCCTGCCTGCCTGCCTGCCTGCCTGCCTGCCTGCCTGCCTGCCTGCCTGCCTGCCTGCCTGCCTGCCTGCCGCCTGCCTGCCTGCCTGCCTGCCTGCCTACCTACCTACCTACCTACCTACATACATACATACATACATACATACATACATACATACATACATACATACATACATACATACATACATACATACATACATACATACATACATACATACATACATACATACATACATACAATACATACATACATACATACATACTACCATACATACATACATACTACATACTACATACATACATACATACATACATACATACATACATACATACATACATACATACATACATACATACATACATACATACATACATACATACATACATACATACATACATACATACATACATACATACATACATACATACATACATACATACATACATACAGATGGACGGACGGACGGACGGGCGGACAGACAGACAGACAGACAGACAGACAGACAGACAGACAGACAGACAGACAGACAGACAGACAGACAGACAGACAGACAGACAGACAGACAGACAGACAGACAGACAGACAGACAGACAGACAGACGACAGACAGACAGATAAAATTACCTGTTGTCGACGTGGCACTATTTGAGGATGCTGTGCTAGTGGACCATGTCAATGTGGATGATGCTGATGACACGGTTAGTGTTTCAGCCGACGAAAGATGTGACAGCTGCGCTGGTGTGTTATCTGAAGTTTTTGAATTCGATTCAGTTGGTGGGGGAATCGACGGAAATGTTGCAGGCGAAGTAGTTGCATTTGTTGATTGGAGAGGTGAAATAAATGTTACTGACGACGAAGGTGCATTTGTTGATTCGAGAGTTGGCGGAAATGATGCGGTCGACGAAGCTGCATCTGTTGATTGGAGATTTGACTGGGAAAATGCTGATGAAGAATTAGTTTGGGGAGTCGACGGAAATGTTGCTGGCGAAGAAGTTGCATTTGTTGATTGGAGAGTTGACGGAAATGTTTCTGGTGAAGAAGTTACATTTGTTGATTGGAGAGTTGACGGAAATGTTGCTGTCGACGAAGTTACATTTGTTGATTGGAGAGTTGACGGAAATGTTGCTGACGAAGAATTTGTTTGGGGAGTTGACGGAAATGTTGCTGTTGACGAAGTTTCATTTGTTGATTGGAGAGTTGACGGAAATGTTGCTGACGAAGAATTTGTTTGGAGAGTTGACGGAAATGTTGCTGTTGACGAAGTTTCATTTGTTGTTTGGAGAGTTGACGGAAATGTTGCTAACGAAGAATCTGTTTGGAGAGTTGACGGAAATGTTGCTGACGAAGAATCTGTTTGGAGAGTTGACGGAAATGTTGCTGGCAAAGAAGGTGCATCTGTTGATTCGAGAGCTGACGGAAATGTTGACGACGAAGAAGTTGCATTTGACTGACGCTTGACTCGGCGTTTGACTAACTGTAAGTACGACTTCTCACTTAACACATCCTCGGTTCTAGATACCTCAGTACTGAGAAGACGCCGACCTGTCTGCAAACTTTTGAATGTGGTTAAACCATCAACGTGTGTCGGACCTACTGAAGAAGCATCTAGAATAGAAAGGCTAACTGAGTGAACATTTCTGCATGAATTAGTTGTTGAAATCAAAGCATTATTGTCCGTTTTAGTAATATTTTGGGTGATCTGCACAATTTCTTCATGTTTCTTCCACAATGATCGAAGTTTTAGCAACCTTTGTATAGTTTGCGATATTTTTTCTTCGTTGGTGTTTTGTGCATGTGGTGTTAATTTAAGATTCGGGAAATGTCTAGAAAATACCAGTTTATAACGACCCGTTTTCAGCAACTTATCTTTATAAGGAAATGATGGTTTTTTGGCTTAAACGTTACCAGTGGGGGTGTATTGTAGATCGCATGATACAATAGAAATCCAGTTCTTATTAGCCGCTATCTGGATGTGTGTTTTTGATCTTGTATCTTCGGATATACTAGAAAGGTGTACTCGTGGTTCGATGTCCGCAACTGGTGAAGAACGTGCTGCTGTTTTTATCCTTGAATTTCCCAGAGAGAGATATTTGTGGAGCACATCTTCAGTCTTTGCGCGTCTGATGTTGCCTAGAGGCCTCAATGGCCGTATCAACAGATGTTTTAAACTGTGCGTGTCATAAATTGGTTCTCTTGATGCAGCTGAGAGTAATCAACAAAATGTAGATTAGATGACATGAATTTTCACGGTAAACGAGTACAGATAATTAGGGGGTGGGGGTGAGGGAGCGGAGTGTGAGGCGGTGGTTTGGAAAAAAGAGGGGTAGGGGTAAGTGGTTTTGGGAAAAAAAAGGGGGGGGGGGTTAAGTGGAAATCACATTGCATAAATAACTAGATGACTTGAGAAACATGTTACTGACTACTAAATTACTGAAAAGTCTCAAAGAAAAGCGATGGGTTTTTAAATAATAAATTGCTTACATTCTACAAGTCATTTATTAGAGGTCAAATATTGCATGCAAACAGTGCGCCCTTCAGGTAAGTGTTAGACCTATATTTTAATAGGACAAATAAATCGGCACTCTATGATTGAAGTGGTCAACATCACATTGATCCCCTTTACTTTAAATGACATTCCTTGTAACCATGTTACTTTGGATCGATTTGGAAGGCAAGTGTGTGTGTGTGTGTGTGTGTGTGTGTGTGTGTGTGTGTGTGTGTGTATGAGTTGCCGTAGTATAGCAGCTAGATGCTCGCCTGCGGATCTGAAGGTCGTGGGTTTCAGATCCGAACGGAGCCTGACATTTGACATTGGCTCCCATGTATCAGGGAAAGCCCTCTGATAAGGAGAATGACTTAAACAGAAAAATATTTAGTGTGATGAAGATATCTTGAATGACACAAACATTAATGGGTACCTTCGTCAGAAGACGTCAATGCATATTCTTTGAGCACGCCACACATACATACACACACACACATACACACACATTTACACACACACACTCAAATTATGGTACTTTGAGCACGTCACACACACACACACACACACACACACATATATATATATATATACATAAATTAGGTATATCCATGCAATAGAAATACTGGGCTGGAGCGAAAGAAGGTTTTTCGAACGCATTGGGTGACCAAGCAAGAACATTTTTGACAGTCTGGTATCATGGCATGGAAAAAGAACGTTTCAGTGGCTTAAAAGCAACGTTTTGTTTAATCATTTCTCTGCTGTAGAGCAGTTACATTGTAACATTTGCTAGCGTCTTATTCCTTTTGTAATTTTTTTTTTCACGTGGCTAGGGCGCATTAGTATTTGAATGACCAGTTGATAATTTTCTTCAAATGACTTGCATTCAGTAGTATTAGAATTACCAGTTGATAATTTTCTTCAAGCGACTAGCGTGCACTAGTATTTGAATGACCAGTAAATAATTTTCTTCAAGTGACTAGCGTGCATAAGTTTTTGAATGACCAGTTGATAATTTTCTCCTAGTGGCTAACGTGCAGTAGTATTTAAATGACCAGCTGATATTTTTCTTCAAGTGGCTAGGGTGCAGTAGTATTTGAATGACGAGTTGATAATTTTCTTCAAGTGACTAGCGTGCATCAGTATTTGAATGGCCAGTTGATAATTTTCTTTAAGTGGCTAGCGTGCATTAGTTTTTAAATAACCAGTTGATACTTTTCTTCAAGTGGCTAGCGTGCAGTAGTATTTGAATGACCAGTTGAGCTATGCCGTAGCAGTTTCTAGTAATGGCCTCCAGGGGCTGTCGCCGCAGGTTAGGCATCGCGCAAAAGAAAACATACA